ACACACCACCTACACCACTGACACACCACCTACACCACTGACACACCACCTACACCACTGACACACCACCTACACCACTGACACACCACCTACACCACTGACACACCACCTACACCACTGACACACCACCTACACCACTGACACACCACCTACACCACTGACACACCACCTACACACACCTACACCACTGACACACCACCTACACCACTGACACACCACCTACACCACTGACACACCACCTACACCACTGACACACCACCTACACCACTGACACACCACCTACACACTGACACACCACCTACACCACTGACACACCACCTACACCACTGACACACCACCTACACCACTGACACACCACCCTACCACTGACACACCACCTACACCACTGACACACCACCTACACCCACCTACACCACTGACACACCACCTACACCACTGACACACCACCTACACCACTGACACACCACCTACACCACTGACACACCACCTACACCACTGACACACCACCTACACCACTGACACACCACCTACACCACTGACACACCACCTACACCACTGACACACCACCTACACCCAGACACACCTACATCCACTGACACACCACCTACACCACTGACACACCACCTACACCACTGACACACCACCTACACCACTGACACACCACCTACACCACTGACACACCACCTACACCACTGACACACCACCTACACCACTGACACACCACCTACACCACTGACACACCACCTACACCACTGACACACCACCTACACCACTGACACACCACCTACACCACTGACACACCACCTACACCACTGACACACCACCTACACCACTGACACACCACCTACACCACTGACACACCACCTACACCACTGACACACCACCTACACCACTGACACCACCACCTACACCACTGACACACCACCTACACCACTGACACACCACCTACACCACTGACACACCACACTACACCCCGACCTACTGACACACCACCTACACCACTGACACACCACCTACACCACTGACACACCACCTACACCACTGACACACCACTGACACACCACTGACACACCACCTACACCACTGACACACCACCTACACCACTGACACACCACCTACACCACTGACACACCACCTACCCACTGACACCACTGACACACCACCTACACCACTGACACACCACCTACACCACTGACACACCACCTACACCACTGACACACCACCTACACCACTGACACACCACCTACACCACTGACACACCACCTACACCACTGACACTACACCACTGACACACCACCTACACCACTGACACACCACCTACACCACTGACACACCACCTACACCACTGACTACACCACTGACACACCACCTACACCACTGACACACACCACTGACACACCACCTACACCACTGACACCCCACCTACACCACTGACACACCACTGACACACCACCTACACCACTGACACACCACACTACACCACTGACACACCACCTACCCACTGACACCACTGACACACCACCTACACCACTGACACACCCCCTACCTGACACACACTGACACACCACCTACACCACTGACACACCCCCTACACCACTGACACACCACCTACACCACTGACACACCCCCTACCCACTGACACACCACCTGACACCACTGACACACCACCTACACCACTGACACACCACCCTACACCACTGACACACCACCTACACCACTGACACACCTACACCACTGACACACACCTACACCACTGACACACACCACTGACACACCACCTACACCACTGACACCCACCTACACCACTGACACACCACTGACACACCACCTACACCACTGACACACCACCTACTGACACACCACATACACCACTGACACACCACCTACACCACTGACACACCACCTACACCACTGACACACCACCTACACCACTGACACACCACCTACACCACTGACACACCACCTACACCACTGACACACCACCTACACCACTGACACACCACCTACACCACTGACACACCACCTACACCACTGACACACCACCTACTGACACACCACCTACACCACCTACACCACTGACACACCACCTACACCACTGACACACCACCTACACCACTGACACACCACTGACACACCACCTACACCACTGACACACCACCTACACCACTGACACACCACCTACACCACTGACACACCACCTACACCACTGACACACCACTGACACACCACCTACACCACTGACACACCACCTACACCACTGACACACCACCTACACCACTGACACACCACCTACACCACTGACACACCACCTACACCACTGACACACCACCTACACCACTGACACACCACTGACACACACCTACACCACTGACACACCACCTACACCACTGACACACCACCTACACCACCTACACCACTGACACACCACTGACACACCACCTACACCACTGACACACCACCTACACCACTGACACACCACTGACACACCACCTACAGGACCATCTCGTCGCCTGTACTTCACACTGCTTCCTTCCTGCCAGGTGGCTCCTCCCTTCCTCCTGGTCCTCCTGGTCCTCCTGGTCCACCTGGTCCACCTGGTACACCTGGTCCTCCTGGTCCACCTGGTCCTCCTGGTCCTTCTGGTCCTCCTGGTCCTCCTGGTCCTACTCCTGGTCCTCCTCCTGGTCCCCCTCCTGGTCCTCCTGGTCCTCCTCCTGGTCCCCCTCCTGGTCCTCCTCCTGGTCCCCCTCCTGGTTCTCCTGGTCCCCCTCCTGGTTCTCCTGGTCCTCCTGGTCCTACTCCTGGTCCTCCTGGTCGTCCTCCACCCACTCCTCCTACTTCCGCCGCCTGACAACTTCCCGCCAAGAATGCCGGAGACTTCCGCATGTGTCCGGATGCGTGCCGACCGGCTCCCATTGTCCCGTCCCCGCTCCCAGCACCGGCTAGGAGCCGCTGCCGCCATCCCAGGACCTCCACCCACACCTCTACATGTCCCTCATAAGTCCCCGCACTGTTATATACACTTAGGGCAGCGGGTAATAAGGGGGGAAGCACAGCGAACACGGAACTAGGGGCAGGTGTTGGGACGAGTGGTGTTGGGGTGGGGGGATTTTTGTTTACCAGGTGTAGTGGAGGGGTGAGGGGGAGGAGGAGGAGCAGAGGGGTTGTTCCCCTTTTCACTCCCTTCTTCATCTCCCCTCCCCCCTTCTCTCAATCACCTCCCCCCCCCATCCTGTCATTCTGCTACGTTTAAAGGCACTTCTGCTGTCATTTTCTATTCCTCTAAGCTGTCTAATGTCTTTAAGACATTAGGCATTTAAGACATGATGTACTGGTCCAGTACATCATGGTACAGGTCCAGTACATCATGGCACAGGTCCAGTACATCATGGTACAGGTCCAGTACTTCATCAAATTTTCCAGTATATCACTTCGGGGGTCCAGTATATCATCAAGCAGTCCTGAATATCACCAAGGGGTATGTGGCCTGTACCAGAGCCTCAGATATTAACACCAAGTAAAGCATCCAGCACTTCCACTAACACGATAACATCATTTATATTTGCCAACATCCAGGGTATAAAAACACGCAAATCCAACAAAGTTCAGTCCATAGATGGTCTCCTTCATGAGGCAAATGCAGTGTTTACATCCCTACCGGAAACCCCTACACAAAGGACTACCATGATGGTGAAATATGGATCTCAAAGCACAATCTTTTCAGATGTGACAGGAAACACCGGCTACAGGGTGGGGTCAGCCTGTACATCAAGGACACACTCATCTGTACAGAGCTGCTAAACACCTCAAATGATATGGTGGAAGTGCTGATAATCAAAATAGAGATTCTAAATGTAGTTATTGTCCTTGTATATAAGTCACCGGAGGCAAACCCTCAGCAGTTTAAAGACCAACTAATGAAAATAGAACACTGCTTGGAAAACTTCACAAATCCAGCCTCGAACATCATCCTGCTTGGGGACTTCAACCTACGGCACCTGAAATGGAAGCACCTGGCTAATACAGTTATAACAGAAAGAATAGTAGCACTTGAAATATGCTCAAACCGCATACCCCTAAGAAAAAAGAAGAGATGCAGATTGGAACGGGAACGTCGTTCCCTCTATAGGCAAAGAAAACGATCGCGGAACAACTTGAGAGTCGCACCCTATCTCAAGAACGGCGAAGAAGGTTAGGTAGAGAAATATAAACAATTGAACTAAAGCTACACGATTCGTACAAAATCCAAAAGAGACAAGGAGAGCAAAAGGCCATCAGTGAAATAGAGAGAAATCCGAAATATTTTTTCTCCTATGCAAAATCAAGACAAAAAAACCATATCTAGTATCGGGCCCCTGCGAAAGGGCGATGGAACTTTCACTAATGACAACAAAGAAATGAGCGAAATTCTGAGGTATTAGTACGACTCTATTTTCAGCGAGCCACTAAGCACGTTAAAGATTGATAACCCAAATGAATTTTTCATGGATTTAATGCCAACATCAAACCATAGATCAGACGTCACCCTATCCCCACTGGATTTTGAAGAAGCCATAAACAGTATGCCTATGCACTCTGCACCAGGCCCGGATTCTTGGCACTCCATATTCATCAAGAACTGTAAAAAAAAAACACTGTCGCAGGCCCTTCACATTCTTTGGAGGCAAAGCCTAGATACTAGCGTTATCCCTGACAAATTATAAACAGCAGAGATAGCATCACTCCATAAAGGAGGAAATAAATCTTTGAGAGAGTGCTAAGAAATGAGATCACAAAACACACGGAATCACAGCATCTCCATAACCCCGGAAAACATGGGTTCAGAACAGGGCGGTCTTGCCTGTCGCAGTTGCTGGACCACTATGACATGGCACTAGATCCCATGGAAGACAAACAAAATGCTGATATAATTTACACAGATTTCACAAAAGCCTTCGACAAATGTGACCATGGTGTTATTGCACACAAAATGCGTGCAAAAGGAATACCGGAAAAATAGGCAGATGGATCTACAATTTCCTGACTAATGGAACCCAATGTGTAATAGTCAATAAAATAAAATCCGAACCATCAACCGTGAAGAGCTCAGTCCCCCAGGGTACTGTTCTTGCTCCAGTACTTTTTCTCATCCTCATATCGGGCATAGACAAGGACACAATCACTCTACCAATCCTATCAATCCACTCTATCCAATCCACCCAGCACTATCAATCCTTATCACTCTATCATTCTATCAGCAGATGACACTAGGATTTTTATGAGAGTAGACAACATAGAGGGCACGGCAAACCTCAAATCAGATGTAAATCAGGTCTTTCAATGGGCTACAGAAAATAATATGTTATTTAATGAAGATAAGTTCCAGCTCATGCGCTACGGAAAAAAATATATATATTAAAGCAGAAACCACGTACAAAACGCAGTCAAATCATAACAGAACAAAAAGACAATGTAAAGGATCTGGGTGTACTCATGTCGGAAGACCTTACCTTTAAAGAACACAATAAAGTAGCCGTCACAACTGCAAGAAAAATGACAGGTTGGATAATAAGAACCTTTCACACTAGAGATGCTATACCGATGATGATACTTTTCAAAACGCTTGTGCTCTCTAGAGTGGAGTACTGCTGCACAATGACAGCCCCTTTCAAAGCTGGAGAAATTGCTGACCTGGAGAGCGTGCAGAGATCCTTTACTGCTAGAATCCACTCAGTAAAACATCTAAACTACTGGGACCGACTAAAGAGCCTAAATCTGTATTCTCTTGAGCACAGGCGGGAGAGGTACATAATAATTTACACGTAGAAAATAGTAGAGGGGCTGGTCCCAAACCTGCACACACAAAAACAATGTGATTTAGGCCAAAAACATAGGTGATTTAGGATGGTTCCAGTTTGCACTGTTCTACTTTCTTCAAATCCATCCAGGAGTTCTCGTCCAATAACACTTTTAAGGGACCTATTTGATAACTCAAGATTCCGTTCAATACTGTCTTTATTTACTGCAGACTTAGCAAGGGCGTCAACTTTGTCATGTTCCTGCAGGCCAATGTGAGAAGGAATCCGCAACATTTTTATATTTACCCTCTTGCTAAGTATGCTTATATATATCTACGTCTGGCTTCCAAGACAAGCACGTTATTACTTGATTGCAAACTGTTTATTGCTCGTAGTGAGGAAAGGGAGTCGGAAATAATTAAGCTGTCTACTTCAGTGTTGTCAATAATTTCGAGTGCTACCAGTATTGCTACCAACTCGGCTTGCACTGTCGATGCCCAGTTACTAATTATTCCTTTGAATTGTGCTGCCATCGGGCTGATGAGCAATAACAGCACTTTCTGCCCTCCCTGTAGCTGTGTTGAATGATCCGTCAGTGTAATGTTGTTTTCAGTTTGGATATTGTAAATGTGTTCTATGGTGCTTAATTTAGCAGCAAGCTGAGCATGAGGGTTTTTGTGTAGTTTCTTGGTGGGATCTGCAGGCGTCAGGATGTCAAAAGGAAATATCTGCCAGGGTGGAAGAAAGCGTTGTACTCTTTCATCTGTATATAAATCGTGCAGTCCCATCATTTTAATATGAGTGGCTGTTCTTTGAATCCATTTAGACTCGCTAGTTCCATTTCGTATGTGTTCTAACAGTGCAACTGACACAATGTTGTTTTTGTTATCACGCAGAAGCTTTAGTCCCATCATAAGATTAATTTCAAATATTCTATCTCGAATGCTAAGTATATTTAATTCTTTCCGCATATTGAGAACTTTGGTAGTTATGGGACAGCCAAGTATAATTCTAAGTGCTTCATTTTGCATTTTTTTCCAGTTTATCAATACTCTTGCCATTTTGCAGGACTAAAGCTGGTGCATGATAGTCTATCAGATACCTTATATATGCTAAGTACATCATTTTTTTATATTTTAATATTAACACCGTATTTAGGGCTGTACCCCACGACAGTTCTGAGAGCCGTGAGCCTGTCTCTACACTGTTGATGTAACTTATTGACTGCAGTTGAGGTACAAGGGACAGAGACACCAAAGTATTTGAAAGAAAGAGTCATAGTCTATTGGTATGTTATCTATCTTAAGTTTTCGTGGTCCACTTTTGCGGTTGCCAATTTGTCTGTTAAATACCTTAGTTTTAGCAGCGTTGATTACAAGACCAAGGCTCTCACAAGCTGTATGTATACAATTTAAGACTGTTTGCATTTCGCGGTGGGTTTTAGTATGCACAAGGATAGCTGATAGTGATGTTTGCCGGACTAGTTGGGATTGATTTTAGTAAAGCATTAATTAGAACATTAAACAAGGTAGGACTTAGTACTCCTTGTGGGGGGTGCCTAGTTGCATTAATTTAGTTTCACTCTTGTAGCCTTGGAACAGTGCAGAGGACTTCCGGTTGGTAAGATAGCCCCGTATCCATTGTAATAAATGTCCCCCTATATCCATTCTCGCTAATTCATACACAATCACTTCCCTATTAGCAATATCACAGGCATTTTTTAAATCAAGAAATGTTGTGTACTTGTGCCTTTTATCTCCATGAACAGTAAGAAAGGTTGTGATACAGTTGTGTACACTTTTACCATGTGTGAAACCATTGATATCAGGTGACATGTGCTCTTTAACTCTATACAATAATCTATTAAGCACCATTCTCTCAAAGGTTTTGCACATGCAACTGGTCAGTGAGATGGGACGGAAAGCATCAGGTTGGCCAGGCTTTGGTACAGGTACCGTAAGACTGGTGGTCCATGATACAGGCAACTGCCCAGTGACATAGCTGGCATTAAACAATTCTAATAATGGGTTACCGGGTACACGGTGTAGGAGTCTTAGAGTATCAAAGGTGATACCGTCCTCACCAGGAGCAGTGCTACTGCCCCTGGAGAGGGCTGCATCCAATTCATAATCTGTATATGGAACATCACATTCATCATGTTGCTTGCTCAACATGAAATTTATGAGAGCATTTCTGTCTGTGGACCTCGCCTGATATTTCTCCCTAGTGCTAGCTGGTAACATTCCAAGGCTGGAAACCTGAGCCGATTTTGCAATTAACTGATTGGCTTTCTGTAGCGGGTTTGGGTGTGAAACTTGTCTATTATTTTTGCCAATAATTTTGTTTATGCCTTTCCAGGCTTTGCCCAGGGGAGTATGCAGGTTAAGTCCACTAACAAAACCCTCCCATTCATTTTGTCTCAGTTCAGTCATTCTCTCCCTTGCCGCTGCAAGCGCGGCCTGAAACAGTTTTAACATTTGAGGAGTTCTAAGGTTCTTATATGCTTTACCTGTCTGTCTAGCAATTGATTTAAGCTCTTTCAGTTTAGCATCATCATAGTACTGGTTGTGTCTGACCTGTTTACCAGTACGTCTTTTTGTTTGGTGTGACTCACTATTTTTGATGGCCTCATAGGTTTTATTTATGAGGTCATCATAAAACTGTTGTACATTCTCAGGCTCATAATTGTTATACCAATGTG